TACTAACGGCTATAATTACTAATACAAAAACATGCACCTTAGAAATGAATTCTATCCGGTTTTAAAAATAATTCAAAAAGTAAATTTTTCTTAAATATAGCAAATAAATCACATCATCTGAAAATTGTTCCAAAAGAAAATATATGTTTGAACTAATTTATTGTGAAAGGAACGATCATACTGTAAATTGATCGGGCCGACGTTTTTCTGCTGAAAGAAACTGCAACCGCATAGCAGCAACTTTTTCATACTCCTTCATCAACACATAGCATGTCCAAAAGGTAAAGACGTAAGCCAACACAGTATGAGCCCAAAACCTGCAACTTAGAAATAAACATAATTCTTATGCAGGAGGAATTCATCATATTACAATCAAGATAGTATAAAAATGAAAGGGAAGAGAAGAGAGCACACCTCTCTGATTCAGGCGGGATATTTGAAGTTGAAAGCTTATCAATATCGCTTGAAGTTAGGTTCTTGGCTGCTTTGCATAATGTGCTGTTTGTAAAATTTACCGGTGCCAAAACAGTACAAGCAAGGAATGTAATAGGAACAAAAATCTTAAGTCCCATCAAGTAAATCCGCAAATAGACAGCTGAATCCAATCCGGCATGCTCAATAAGCTCACGTTCCGGCATCATGCATGCAGCCGGCATCCAATTCAAGAACCTTAGATATGATCTGCAATCTGAATTCACAAACTTCCGATCTAATGCCCCTGAATGCGTTGGACTACTTCTTATCCCTTTAAGATACCATTTCGGAAAGTATACTCTATCATTGAACGGTTGAATTCTTAATATAGCAAATGCTATTAATATAATGAAGGTAGTAAGAATGTTAAGAGCTGCTGAAACCCCTATATCTTCGAGCGTCGCCATCTATATCTCCCAACCAAAAAAAAAAAAAAAAAAAAAAAAAAAAAAAATCAATTTCCTTATAATATTATTGTTGATCAAAATTTAAATTTTGAATGACCATTTCATTTTCATTTCTGGCGCTAAATTCAACTAAAAAACAGTACTTTTGTCCGTTATAAATAATCTACATCCAAATATTCAAATAACTATCCCTCCATTTTTCTCATATCTAGTTCATGTCACTCTCTAAGCTTCCACTACAAAGAATTAAAAAAATAAAATGGAAGTCAAGCTCTTCTCAATCAATCAAGAACAAAAACGAAATGGAAACAAATATAAATTTAAAAAGGAAAGGAAGCTTATACTATGTGCGAGATTTCTTCAAGCTTTGTCTAAACAACAAACAGGCACACAAAAAGAGAGAGAGATAATTACAAAGACAACTCCACAAACAAGAATCGAAAGGGTGCAACCTATTCCTCACACTCTGCTTTTTCACTCTTTTTATATCGATGGTGATTGACAGAGGAATATCATTACAATATCAAATTGTCCTTTTTTAGGGAACAAAGTTGCGATTACTTAAATAAAGTTTCTAATATGATGGAATGTTGAATCAGGTCAGTATTAGTGATCAAGATCACAATATTATTAATAACAAAAGATTATTTCCATTTATGTGTTGATTATGTAGTTATTTGTATTTATTTGTTTCCTTACACGTTACATTTTTTATGTATAAATTGTACTATTAATACAATGAAAAGATATACAAAAAAATACTTTTATAGAAATTATTTTTCATTTACATTGTTTTATTTCTATTGAGCATTCTCTGCAACTTATTGCTACTCTTGCTTCAATTGTCTCTTCCCAACAGTCTTAAGTAGTCCAACTATTGCTTTTGCTGTTTCTTCTTTAGATTGTAACATAGTATCAGAGCAAGTTGTCTAGCAATCTTTCCTTGGTCCAATCTCCTCCACTGTCGTTGCCTCACCTACAAAACAAAAATCCAATTTAGTTCTTTGCCAAACCAAAAATGGAACCCATCACACCAACTACAGGTCTAGATTCAACCAAACCACTCAACAATCAACCCAACCCAAACGCACAAATGGACCCAAACAACCTAAATGACCCAACAGGCCCACAAACCCAAACCTATCAATTCCATCACACCGGCCCAACTCCTTTCGGGTATGCAGGTTCTGACCCAAACCCAAATTAGGATACTCCAGAATATTTTGTAGAATATTTTGTAATTACCTATTTTTGTCAGTATTATGATACTCTTGATATTATGTCTGTAAAACCTCATTTCCTAATTTAGTTAATCAATTCTTTCTATTTGATTTTTGGTATTGTTGTAAGAAAGGGGTATTTCTATTAGTTTTTAAAGGTTGCGTTAAGGGGTGAAAACAAAAGAAATAAATTCTGATGGGTTTGCATGTATCAAGAGGGAAAAATCTGGACACTTTTGTTAGGAAAAACTTATGTGGCGGGGTTAGGAAATTAAGAGAAATTGGGGGACAGATTCGAAATTTCAAAAAGAAACAAAAAGGGGACTATTTTGTTTAAGAAAAGAAGAAAAGCGTTGTTCGCCCAAATGAAGAAGAAGAAGACGAGAGCTGAGGGAGAAAGCGAAAACAGAGCAGAAAAAGAAAAAAGAAAAAAGAAGAGAGAAGAGAAAACGAAAGGAGAAAGAGAGAAGATAAGAGAGAAAAGATAGAAGAGATGATAGAAAGAAAGAAGAAGAAAAAAGAGAAGAGAGGAGAATGGGTTCGGCTGAAAATGGTAGAGTGAGAGAGAAGAGTGGCTTCGGCTGTTAGAACAGTGAGTGGATCTAACTAAAAATCCTTTTAAAAAATCAAAATCTTGTTTGCATGCATGTCAAGCTGTGAAATTCTAGCATGTTGTGTTTGAGGGAAAATTGAAATTGGTGTGAATTTTTGCTTGCATGTGTCGGCCCAGTAATGTTTCGGGAAAAGTTTCCAGATCTGGTTCTTTTGCTCAAAGTGTTGAGATTATTATGCTGCATATTTTCCAGGATTATGTCTAACAGCTTAAGATTCTATATTTGCATGTGTTATATTCTTTTCTTTTTTTTTTTTTTTTTCACTTTTCATATTTTATAGTTGCATGATGTCAATGAAGTAAAATGGTGCTGAGGTGTGTGATTGGAAATGTGAACTTGACATATTGAAAAAGGTTGTTTCGGTTGGGCTGAAATTAGGGGAAAAAAAAAAGTTAAAAAGTGCAGATATTGATAATGCAAAAATGATGGTATTGGCTATTTGTTTTGGAAGAACATGTTTATTTTATTTTAATATGAGATATTCTTGTGTATTAATTATTAGCTCTTTGGTTTAATTATAATTATCGTGTGTTATTTGAGTTTTTGGCTTTTCAAAGTGATAATTGTTGATGATTGGTGTCCGACATATGCTATGGTAATGTAATGCTGAAGTAATTTTTAATCTGGGTTAAACCGTTAGTTTCTAAAACATGTTTAGAAAATTGCAGTTTCACCCCTATATGTGATTTTTGAATATTATGTCATATATGTATGATTTATAAGCACATATGTAATATGCTCTTGACTTACATGTTACTTGAGATTACGCATGAGATTGTTGTGGTGCTAAAACCATCCTACGAAGTAGCCATCCCCCAGAGTTCAAGATTATCAAATCTAGTTTATGGCTCTACGCATGCGTATGACAGTTATCAGTGCTCTGCCTAGGCGTTGAGTGGTCCGTCAGGTATGACAGTTTCAGAGGCTCTGCCCGCGTGATGATAGATCTTGCTGGGTGTGCAGGTGTCCCTCGCTCTGCCTGCGTGTGGGATGCCCACCAGGTATGACAGATTTTCCCTAGGGTACTAGTTGTAGTGAGAGTTTCTAATACCAAATGTTGAGGTTTTATTCAGAATCAGATATTATTAAAGAAAGTAAGTCAGAGTACAGTTTACTAAGTGCATGATGGTTAGAAATAAATCACATATTGCATACGTGAATGGGGTGGTTGCTTTCTTTGCATATTCATAGAATTATATTGTCGTTAGGATTTGCTTAAGAATTGTTGTATGTTATCATTATTTCTTTTTATAGAACTTTTACAAACCTCCCCTCTCCCCCACTCACTGAGTATTTTAGCTCACCCTTTTTTAAATGTTTTTCCCCCCTCACCAGGACCTCCCGGAGATCGTGCCGAGCAATGAGTCTCCGCTCAGGGTTGTGCCACGCGTCGACATCTTTTTATGTGGGTTTATATTTATGTCGTATTGTATTTTGGACTTCCACTTCAAAAACTCATGTTTCCCATCATGTATTTCCTTTTGTTTATGCTATGGAATGTGTAGTATAAGTGGAAAACCTGATACCATAAGTTTCCCTAAATCTTTTCTTTTGTAAAACGAAAGATGGTGTATGTTTTTGAGATGTTGGAAATGGAAATACTATGATGTTATTCAGAAAAAGTAAGTCTTTTAACAGGTTTCACAGTTTTTCCACATGGCCCATCTCGGGTATCCGAGTCTTGTGGGAGCGCCCGGATCCTACAGGATGAGGAAATTTAGGACAGGTCGTGTCAACTTGGTATCAGAGCATGGTTTTCGATTTTTAAGGGCATTTTTTTAAAAAAAAAAAATATATATCACACATGCCAATTTGTCCCTTAGTGAAGTTTATTCCATCCATGAGTGTGTTTAAGAAACCAATTTGCTTATGTTTTGTAGATGTCAGCATGAGTCAATGTGGCCAGCCTTGCACGAAATCCGTGAGAGAATTATTAGTTCCTAGAGTGCTTAGGAGGGTGAGTGAGCCTGGGGAAGAGACAGTAGAAGAGTCGGGTACCCGTAGGTCAGGACCTCAGGGACCCCAAGAAGAATCAGATGCCAATGATCAAAATGTTGGGGAAGGACCAGTGAGTGAACAAAATGCAGGGCTCCAAGGTGATGGTAATAACATGGAGCAGACCTCAACTGATGACTAGGGTAGTGTAGGGTAGGACGTCTGGGCGTCAGGGTGAAGGAAAAACTATAAAAAGAGCGAGAAAATTAGGGGCAACAGACTTTGAGGGGATGAGAGATCCCATAGATATCGACTCCTGGATGGATTAATTAGAACAAGTATTTGGGATGATGGAGTGCACCGATGACCAAAAACTACAGTTTGCTACCTTTCTGCTAAAAGGTAAGGCTCGTCATTGGTGGAGATTGGTGCAACCTAGATATGGGGATCCGACAACAATTACTTGGGCCAATTTCCGTCAGGAGTTCTTCGATCATTATTTTCCTATGGTGTATCAGGATGCTAAGCAGAGTGAGTTTATCAGACTAACATAAGGTAATATGTCAGTGGAGGAATATTTGATTAAGTTTATTGAGTTATCCCGTTTTTGCCCCGTTTAAAACCAGAGATGAGAGAGCAAAATGTAGGAGAGGAGGGCCTCAGAGGTAGGATCAGAACAATAGTGGCCTCACACTACTGCTCAGAGTTTGGGAAATTGACAGAGATAGCTATGAGAGTTGAGAGTAATTTGAGAGATTTTGATAAGAGAGAGCCACAAAGACCAAAGCGTAGTAACCGTGAGTGGACAGTTGGTGGCCCAAGCAATAGAAATCAAAAAAGAGATGATAGTTTTTCCGAGACCTCGAGCAGTTCAAGACAGATGCAAAGACAGGCTCAGAGTCAACATTCAGTGGACAATAGTAATTGGAATATGAGGACTCAAGACAATAGATATCAAAGTGGTGGTGCAAGTGGGAGTCAACGATCACCCTGTAACAGTTGTGGTAGGTTTCACTTGGGGCAGTGTCAGAAAGGAGCTTCACGTTGTTATCATTGTGGGCAGTTTGGCCATATCAAGAGAAATTGTCCCATTTTGGCTCAATGTGATAATGCCTCGGTTCAGCAGAATTTCAAAGGAAATAAGGGCCAGTTTCTGGGACAACAGAAATCTCAGGTACAGAAGGCCTAAGGTAGTGTTGCAGGTAGTAATAGTGCCAGACAAAGAGGAACAAGGCGACCTCAGACCCAAGCTCATGTCTTTGCTCTCACCGAGCATGATGCTCAAGCTACCCCAGACATAGTTATGGGTATGTTGACCGTTTTTCATCATGAGGCTCGTATTTTAATTGATCCAGGTTCTACACATTCATTTGTTTCTTATCATTTTGCTATGCATGCCAATAGAAAGTTAGAACCCTTAGAGTGTAAGTTAGCAATAGTCACCCCTGTTGGAGATTCTTTAGTGGTTGAGTATGTGTATAGACATAGTGTGGCGAGGATTGGTAAGCATGAGTTTATGGTAGATTTGATTCCTTTAGACATGCATGATTTTGATGTGATTTTAGGAATGGATTGGCTAGCCTTGCATTGTGCCACAGTGGATTGTTTCCATAAGGAGGTGACCTTTAAGAAGCGAGGGAAACCAAAGTTTGTTTTCTATGGGGAGCATCGTATCCTTCCTTCCTGTGTTATTTCAGCGATGACTACCAAGCGACTACTCAGGAAACAATGTCCCGCTTATCTAGCTCATGTGGTAGACACTAGAATCAGTGAATTGAGGTTAGAGGATATTTTGGTAGTGAGGGAATACCCAGACGTTTTTCCTAAAGACCTTCTTGGTTTGTCACCTGATAGAGAAATTGAGTTTACTATAGATTTGGTTCCCAATTCAGCCCCCATATCCATGGCCCCTTATAGAATGGCACCACGAGAATTACAAAAGTTAAAGGTACAACTACAAGAATTGGTGGATAAGGGTTTGATTGGACCTAGTGTGTCACCGTGGGGAGCACCAGTTTTATTTGTTAAAAAGAAAGATGGTACTTTCAGATTATGCATAGATTATCGGTAGTTAAATAAGGTAACAGTGCGTAATAAGTATCCTTTGTCGCAGATCGATGACTTGTTTGATCAATTGCAGGGTGCCAGGGTCTTCTCCAAAATAGATCTAAGGTCTGGTTACCATCAACTAAAGATTAAGGAGACTAATATATCGAAAACAACATTCAGGACCCGTTATGGACATTATGAGTTCTTAGTGATGCCTTTTGGCTTAACCAATGCTCCTGTAGCTTTTATGGATCTGATGAATAGGGTGTTTCGCCCATACCTAGATTGATTTGTGGTTTTGTTCATTGATGACATTTTAGTGTATTCGAGAAATGAGGAGGAACATGAGGAGCACCTCAGGATGGTCCTACAAACCCTCAAGGAAAATAGACTCTATGCGAAGTTTAGCAAGTGTAAGTTTTGGCTCAATAAGATTACATTTTTAGGTCATGTGATCTTGGCGGATGGTATTTATGTGGATGCCTAGAAAGTAGAAGCAGTGTTGAATTGGGAGAGACCTATCAATGTGACAGTAGTAAAGAGTTTCCTCGAGTTCGCTGGATACTATCAGAGATTTGTGGAAGGATTTTCGAAGATAGCAACACCTTTGACCAGGTTGACTCAGAAGGAGGTAAAGTTTGAGTGGGATGACGATTGTGAGTGGAGTTTCCAGGAATTGAAAGTAAGGCCAACCTCAGCCCCCCTACTTGCCTTGCCTTCTGATAATGATGGATTTGTGGTGTTTAGTGATGCATCCAGATAGGGTTTGGGTTATGTGTTGATGCAACATGAGAGAGTAATAGCCTATGCCTCCAGGCAACTCAAGAAACACGAGATGAATTACCCAAACCATGACTTGGAACTCGCAATGGTAGTCTTTGCTTTGAAAATTTGGAGACAATCTTTATGGGGTCACTTGCCAGATTTTTACTGACCATCAGAATTGGACATATTTGTTTACTCAAAAGGAATTGAATCTGTGGCAGAGAAGGTGGATTGAGCTTATCAAGGATTATCACTGTATGATTGATTTTCATCCTTGGTAAGGCCAACGTAGTGGCGAATGCCCTAAGTAGAAAAACCCCGAGCGTCATGGCACATATGAAGGTGTGTTATCCCTTGCTTACAGAGTTGAGGACCTTAGGAGTTGAGTTAGGAATGAATGAGTCAAGCGTACTTTTAGCACATTTTCAAGTTAGGCCTATTTTGGTGGATCGAATCAGGGAGTCTCAGTTTATAGACTCTAATATAATGAAGTTAATGGGAGAAGTAAGTAAGGGGTTATGGACATATTTCTAGATCAAGGGCAATGGTATGTTAATGATGGGGAATAGACTTTGTGTGCCCAATGTAGAAGAGTTGAAAAGGGAGATTTTAGAGGAGGCTCATTCGTCAGCCTATGCTATCCATCCAGGTAGTACGAAGTTGTACCCTACTCTAAAAGAACATTATTGGTGGCCAGGTTTGAAAAGGGAAGTAGCTGAGTTTGTTTCTAGATGTTTAGTTTGTCAACAAGTTAAGGCTGAACATCAGAGGCCAGCAGGATTGTCCCAACTGCTTCCTATTCCACAATGGAAATGGGAGCACATTACCATGGACTTCGTGATAGGCCTCCCTCGTACTGCACATAAGCATGATGGTATATGGGTGATTGTTGATCGGTTGACAAAGTCCACTCATTTCTTATCGATTAAGACCACCTATTCACTTAATAGGTTGGCGAGCATCTATGTCGCAGAGATTGTAAGACTTCATGGAGCCCATGTTTCTATAGTATCAGATCGGGATCCCATGTTCACATCTAGATTTTGGCCAACTTTACAGAAGGCTTTAGGTACCAAACTAAATTTTAGCACGGCATTCCACCCTCAAACTAATGGGCAGTCAGAGAGGACAATTCAGACTTTAGAGGATATGTTGCGGGCTTTTATAATGGAATTCAATGGTAGTTGGGATGTGTATTTGCCCTTGATGGAATTCACCTATAATAACAGTTATCACTCTAGTATTGGGATGCCACCATATGAAGCTTTATATGGTCAAAAATGTAGAACTCCAGAGTGTTGGGATGAGGTTGGTGAGAGGAAATTGTTAGGCCCCGAGATTGTGCAAGGCACTAATGAGAAGATTAGTATTATTAGGGCGAGACTTAAGGCGGCTCAAGATGGACAAAAGAGTTATGCCGATAAGTAGAGAAGTGAGCTTGAATTCCAAGTGGGCAATAAGGTTTTCTAAAAGTTTTGCCATGGAAAAGGGTGTTAAGGTTTGGCAAGCGGAGTAAGTTGAGCCCAAGATATATTGGTCCTTATGAGATTCTCGGAAGAATTGGTGAAGTAGCATACCAATTGGCATTGCCACCAGAATTTGAGAGAATCCATAATGTCTTCCATGTCACCATGCCCCGTAAGTATGTAATGGATCCCTCCCATGTTCTCCAACAACAATCGATTCAATTGGATGAGCACTTAACTTACGAGGAAAGGCCGGTTCAAATTGTGGATTATAAAGAGCAAGTGCTTCGTACTAGAACCTTTCCTTGGGTAAAAGTCGTATGGGAGAATCATGAGATCAAACAGGCAACGTGGGAGCTTGAAGATGTCATGCGGACTAAGTACCCATACCTTTTTCAGTAAGGTTAGTGAAATTTCGGGGACGAAATTCTTTTCAAGGGGGGAAGTTGTAAAACCCCATTTCCTAATTTAGTTACTTAATTCTTTCTATTTGATTTTTGGTATTGTTGTAAGAAAGGGGTATTTCTGTTAGTTTTTAAAGTTTGCGTTAATGGGTGAAAACAAAAAAAATAAATTCTGATGGGTTTGCATGTATCAAGAGGGAAAAATCTTGACACTTTTGCTAGGAAAAGCTTATGTGGCGGGGTTAGTGATATTAAAAGAAATTGGGGGGCAGATTGAAATTTTAGAAAGAAACAAAAAGGGGACTGTTTCGTTTAAAAAAAGAAGAAAAGGGTTGTTCACCCAAATGAAGAAGAAGAAGACGAGAGCTGAGGGAGAAAGCGAAAACAGAGCAGAAAAAGAAAAAAGAAAAAAGAAGAGAGAAGAGAAAACGAAAGGAGAAAGAGAGAAGATAAGAGAGAAAAGATAGAAGAGATGATAGAAAGAAAGAAGAAGAAAAAAGAGAAGAGAGGAGATGGGTTCAGCTAAAAATGGTAGAGTGAGAAAGAAGAGTGGAGGAGAGTGCAGGGAGCTTCGGCTGTTAGAACAGTGAGTGGATCTAACTAAAAACCCTTTTAAAAAATCAAAATCTTGTTTGTATGTCAAGCTGTGAAATTCTAGCATATTGTGTTTGAGGGAAAATTGAAATTGGTGTGAATTTTTGCTTGCATGTGTCGGCCCAGTAATGGTTCGGGAAAAGTTTTCAAATCTGGTTCTTTTGCTCAAGGTTTATGCTGCATATTTTCCAGGATCATGTCTAACAGCTTAAGATTCTATATTTGCATGTGTTATATTCTTTTCTTTTCTTTTCTTTTTTTTTTTTATTTTTTATATTTTATAGTTGCATGATGTCAATGAAGTAAAATGGTGCTGAGGTGTGTGATTGGAATGTGAACTTGACATATTGAAAAAGGTTGTTTCGGTTGGGCTGAAATTAGGGAAAAAAAAAAAAGTTAAAAAGTGCAGATATTGATAATGGAAAAATGATGGTATTGGCTATTTGTTTGGAAGGACATGTTTATTTTATTTTAATATGAGATATCCTTAGGGCGTTTGGTTGGGAGATATTTGACATTACTGAGGGTAAGTGATCTTATATTACTTGATTACCATGTTTGGTTGTCAAGTACTATAAGATACTGGTAATCTCCAAATACCAATAGTGGTTACTATTGGTAATATTGGAGGTAATCTGATTACCTCCATTTTCTTAGGTATTTTAAGATTACTAGGGTTATCTTCTTTTGTTACAATTTTATCCCTTATTAATAAAAGTTTTGGACAATGATGCCCCTATTTTAAAAGAAATTTAAATTAATATCTTATTTCAATTTTATCCTTGTTTAATTAAAATTTTGGACAATAATGCCCTTATATTTAAAACAATTTACAGACCACCACTGTCACCCAACCGCCACCACCACTACACCCAGCCACCACTGCCGACAGTGAGCCAACCACCACAGACCATCGCCAGAAAGTCGCCAAAGTCGCTAAAAAAGAATGAGATTCGGTGGAAGGCTCCGGGAGGCTTCGATATGGCATTTTCTGGTTATATTGATGGCCAAAAACGGCCATATCATGCCAGATCTATTCTGGCCATTTCCAGCTAAATCGATGGAACTGGCCGTTAACTGCCAGATTTGGGCGAGATCTAGCTGTTTTTGGTCGGAATAGATCTGGCCGGAAATGGCCATAATAGATCTAGTCTGATATGGCCTTTTTCGGCCATCAATATGGCCAGAAAAAACCATATCGGAGCCTCTTGGTCATGGCGAGCGACTGACGGGGACCTTTAGAGACTTCCGGCGGTGGTTTGTGGCGGCGGCAGTGGCAGCAAGAGGTGGGGGTGATTTCGTAATAAATTAAAGTTTTATATAAGCGGGGGTGTTTTAACTAAATCTAAAATATTGAGGGTTAAAAGAAATTATTCAAAAATTAATAATAAAAATAATATTATATTAATATTTGAAGAGTGGACAATTTGGTAATTTAAATAACATACCCACCAATTTATTCCCCATAACCAAACATATACCCATCAACTAACCAAACACATTTTCCTAAAGATTCCCAGTAATCTTCCAAGGTAATCTATCTTTCCAGTAATCCAACATTCCTAGTAATCTAACATTCTTGAACCAAACTCCCCCTGTATTAATTATTAGCTCTTTGGTTTAATTATAATTATCGTGTGTTATTTGAGTTTTTGGCTTTTTAAAGTGATAATTGCTGATGATTGATGTCCGACATATGCTATGGTAATGTAATGTTGAAGTAATTTTTAATCTGGGTTAAACCATCAATTTCTGAAATATGTTTAGAAAATTATAGTTTCACCCCTATATGTGATTTTTTAATATTATGTCATATATGTATGATTTATAAGCACATATGTAATATGCTCTTGACTTACATGTTACTTGAGATTATGCATGAGATTGTTGTAGTGCTAAAACCACCCTACGAAGTACCCATCCCTCAAAGTTACAGATTATCAAATCTAGTTTATGGCTCTACGCATGCGTATGACAGTTATCAATGCTCTGCCTAGGCGTTGAGTGGTCCGCCAGGTATGATAGTTTCAGAGGTTCTGCCCACGCTATGATAGATCTTGCCGGGTGTGCAGGTGTCCCTCGCTCTGCCTGCATGTGGGACGCCCACCAGGTATGACAGATTTTCCCCAAGGTACTAGTTGTGGTGAGAGTTTCTAATACCAAATGTTGAGGTTTTATTCAGAATCAGATACAGTTAAAGGAAGTAAGTCAGAGTACAGTTTACTGAGTGCAAGATGGTTATAAATAAATCACATATTGTATACGTGAATGGGGTGGTTGCTTTCTTTGCATATTCATAGAATTATATTATCGTCAGGATTTGCTTAAGAATTGTTGTATGTTATCATTATTTCTTTTTATAAAACTTTTACAAACCTCCCATCTCCCCCAATCACTGAGTATTTCAGCTCACCCTTTTTTAAATGTTTTCCCCCCCTCACCAAGACCTCTCGGAGATCGGCCGAGTAGTGAGTCTCCGCTCAGGGTTGTGCCACGTGTCGACGTCTTTTTATGTGGGTTTATATTTATGTCGTATTGTATTTTGGATTTCCGCTTCAAAAACTCATGTTTTCCATCATGTATTTCCTTTTGTTTATGCTATGGAACGTATAGTATAAGTGGAAAACCTAATACCATAAGTTTCCCTAAATCTTTTCTTTTGTAAAACGAAAGATGGTGTATGTTTTTGAGATGTTGGAAATGGAAATACTATGATGTTATTCAAAAAAAGTAAGTCTTTTAACAGGTTTCACAGTTTTTCTATATGGCACGTCTCGGGTATCCGAGTCTTGTGGCAGCGCCCGGATCCTACAGGATGAGAAAATTCAGGACGGTGTCAATATCAGTATATTGTGTAATTTGAAACTGACATAATTAGAAGATTCAATGGATTATATTCTACCTATATAAGGACTGTAACTATGTATTAAAAATCAATGAATTGAAACATACAATTCTTCAATTAAACGCAATTTATTCCTCACACTCTGCTTTTTCACTCTTTTAATATCGATGGTGATTGACAAAGGGATATTATTACAATATCAAATTGTCCTTTACAATATTTTTATCAATATTTTAGTCCTTCTAGGGAACAAGCTGCAATTACTTTTATTAAAGTTTTTACATAATAGCATACAATTACTTAAAACCATTGTTTTAAAACCCGATTCATTGTAAAACCCGACAAGGTGACTGGTTCAATCGGTTGAACCCAGCCAATTGGATTGGTGACATCAACAACAAAAGCATTTTTAAAAAATTGTAAATTAGTCTCTTAAATTTTAGTATATTACAAAAATACCCTTAATAAATTTTAAATTAGTCCTTAAATTTTTAATTTATTTTAAAAGTTCACAAAAATTCCAATTATTCCCTAATTTTTTGAAATACTTAAAAATACCCCTAAAAAATATTAGTCCCTATAAATTTGAAATATAGCAAAAACCCCCCTAGAACCTGAATTGGACCGGAGAGATTGTCGGGTCCCAGTCCGACCGACCGGTCCGATCCGGGTTTTAAAATGAGCTTATAACATGAATCACATGGTTAAGCGGGGGATGTTTTGTTGTGCTGTGCCAAAAGCCCTTATAATGGCTGCTTTTGTAGCTTTCTCCTGGTTGTTACTTGTTAGTATAACAATTGGAAATTTCCACCCATCCTCCAAGTCACGTTTGTACTAACAAAAGATAAATGAAGACATGGTGTCATCCGCAAGTAATCTATTTAACCAGGCAATGTTAGATTTGAAAACAATTGTTGACAACTTATGATATTGAAAATTGAAGCAAATCTACATTGAACACACTGCATTGATTCTAAGAAGCACATAAAGATTGAAATAGGAAATGGGAAATATTTCAAGAACTTGCTTCTATTGCTCGAAAATGGAAACCTGAGTTCAAGTGGTCACTTCTCTCTTCTTTCACTCTGTCTATACAGAGAAACTATGATGCTCTTCTTTCTCAATTTATTTACAATGTTTGTCATCCTTCACTGATTCGACGTGCATAGCTCATATGTGGACGGAAAGTATAAGTCTTAAACAGAATCAAGGCTCTGAGCTTTCGCGAACAGTGTCGGGCAAAGAGGGAGATTGTGAGGACGCATCACTAATTTCGCTGCGCGATAGTACTGGTGTGTTTCTACGGGATTGGCGTTTTGTGGGGATTAAAACATTTTCGTTTTCCCTGCTTCCATCTTCATCATCCATTTTGAAAACTGGATGGATGTATGCATTTTGAAGATAATCTTTCAAGTTAAGGTTTGGTTCCATTGCCCGTTCTAAAGTATCTTTCGTCATCGCTTCCTGAGAAAGAAAAGTTAGAATGGGTCAGATTGCTTAGAAAAAGAATAACAGAATTCTGAAATTCTGTTTGTAGTAATTAACCATCAAATTTACAGTATGTAAGCACCAACAAACCTGTAATGGATATTTAACAAATGCAGATTTGTAACGGCCTGTGCAGAACCTATGAAACCATATCGTAAGTATGGGAAGAGCAATGAGAAATGGTGTTGATTGAGCAGCTCCCTTTGTACTCAGCAGCCCCATAAGAAGCAGCTGTGATATAACCAATGCTGCAATGACTCTCTTATGGACATCAGGCCAGAATGCTGCACCGCTCTCGTACTGTTGGTTGTAAACATTTATGATCTACATTTTAACATAAAATTAACAAACAGAACTCTAGTATGAAAACAATAGTTGTAGCGTATAGTTCATTTAATAAAAAAACACATTCTGAAAACAAAGGTGGAATGTTGGTAAATACTTAATTACAAAGCACATTCTAAAAGCACTTAAAAATTCGCATGCCCCAGTAATTTGGCAGAACATTATTTCAAGAATCTTAGAAGAGAATAATTTCCGTCTTCCTAACATGAACATGACCACATGCACAAGTAAATCGTTGTGTAAATTGAACTGTCTGTTAATAACAATATTCCTCTTACCTGATGACGGAAAACAACATAGGCCAGTGCAAAGAAAACAATTATGAAAGGGAGCAAAAGAGGAGTCACTGTCGCATAGACAAGGCCTAGCAGAAAATAAAACTGTATACGAGGTTCTCCAGTATGGAAACCCATACTTCCTGGATCCATTGCCTCCTCCCTGTCCCTTTCAGTCTTCACCAAGAAGGAATTCTTCAAGTGGTAGATTATTAGTGGTTGCAACCGTAAAATCTCTAAGGCTATACCAGCCCATCCATCGACCATTATGTAAGTTATGAAGAAAGTTGCTTTAATTGGTATAGCTACTCCAATTGTCTCAGGAATTCTGCCAAAAGAAAAAAAGATTTAAGCTTCATCTTCACAACACTGAAAGACAATAAAAAATTGGATGAAGACATCTGCAAGTCAAATCTATAGCTAAATTGATTATGCTATCACTTATTAGAGGGTAATCCACCCCTTAATTTACTTAAGGAATGGGAAAAAACAAATATCCATACAATAGCAGAAGTCTTGTACCAATATAGATGAGATGAATTCAACACCTATATTCCAACAAATGCAATTTCTTTGTTTTTCTTTTCCTTCTTCTTTATTCCCTCTCTCTCCATTTTCTATTTAGCATTACTAAATAGAAGGAGAAAAAACAAAGAAGATAATCATTAGTCTGAGAGAATTACATACTCATTAGCTGACTGCTTTATAAACGAATTTAGCTGTTCAAATGCAGTTCCAGTTATTACGCTCCCAAGAAAAACGTTTACAAGATTGAAAATATAATATCTAGATGCTGATCTTCTTTCCAGAGATGATAGAGATACAAAGCCTTCATATTTAGACATAATCATCAATATCATCTGGAGGAAGATGAGAAAAAGCTTCAACACAAGACCAGGAAGAAAACCTTGGATGACTGATTTAATAAGCTTGCTGCATGATAAATTAAGATAATATCAGTTATTTATATAGAGTAATGGAATCTGAATACTACTCAAAAGTGTTTGAGGATGATAGAAAATTACGTTTCAACTAAGGGTTTCAGAAATGGTGCTGCTTTTTCAATTCCCTCAAGGCTTGCAAGAGATTGTACAAAAGCAATGGGGATCATGAAAAAAAATGTGAGGAAAAAGAATGCAACACCAATAATCAGCTTCCTAATCCTGAGTGAAACATATGGAATTGCCAAGTTTTTCCAATAGGCATCACGAGGCTCTGGAGCCCACTCAGGCAACCATATAGTTGGATTTCTGGTCTGTTGAGTTTGTGCACATACAGCTGCACCCCATCTGGTTTTAAAGGAAACAAATGCTGCCGGCATTATAGACTGGGGATCACTAACAACCCTTTTTCTCTCATCAGCTATCTGAACAACACCGAAATAATGTCTCAATCAAATTTGTCCTTAAGTAATAATGTTGAATGGAGGTATAACAAAAGAAGCCCAATAAAATGCTCTTATTAATTCACATGAAGCTGAGCATGCAAAAGCACAACACTGTATCAACTCCATCACATGATAGACTTAAATATTCAAGTTGATTGATAGGCCTAAAGAACATTATGACAATGCTTTAAATATTTACTGCAACGCCTATCCCTCCAAAATATGAAGAATGAGACACGTAATTGTCGAAAAATGCAGAACCCATATATCCATTATTCCCCAAGGACAAAAACCATTTTCCATGGTTCAAAATAATGAGACAGGTCAGAGTTTTACCGAAAATTCTCAGCCGTTGAAAAATAAGGGAAAGAAATTATACAGTCAGCTGTTTACCAACTCGATTCACCAATGACACAGAACAAGTGAGACAGAGTGTTGTACAGCTTTTGCTAAGGCTCTAATATGGTAGAACAATGTTTGAGTTTGATTGACTACTGTAAAGCAGTCCAGTGTTTAACTAAATTTTGTCCAAACTCAGGCATTTTCTAGTTGCCTGATAGGGCTATATATTTGAATAAACGATATACTGAGACAGCAACCAGTATGTTATATTTACAAAAAGTGAGCACAGCAATGCCAGATAAGGTTAAAAAAAAAAAAAGGCCAACATGATTAGTTTTGAGCATAGAGCAACTAAGATTGTCCTCTCTAAATTAATTAAATATGAAACACGAGACCAATATAGAGGACATTACAGGAATAATACTCACTTCTGTTGACAATTTTTCAATTTCAGATATGTGACGATCAATTGCGTCCACTTTTTCTCCACAAAATCCAAGAAAACCGGTCTGGTAAAAGAAAACATACACATTGATATCACAAAAAGTCAAACCTTAAAAGGATACATATAAACTAGCAAACTTTACATATTACAATGATAATAACATCTCAAATTGAATATTACCTTCATAACCGGCCTCTTTGAATTATTTCTTTCATATTTATTTTGGTAGTATACCTGCCAATTCTGCATCTTTTTCTTCTTCTTCACCAATTTGGCAAGTTTGTTTGCGTTGATTACCACCTACATAAAAAGTTTACCATGAATTAAATCTAAAGTGATTCCCCAATAAAAAAATCAGTCATGAAACATGTGTAGTACACAGAGAACTTCATTGAAATACAAAATATTTTAAACATGCCATAATTCATGACTTCTGACCCTAAATCAGGTAGCATTACTAAAATCAGACATCAAAAAGATTCAACCTGATGCGTTAGGTAGTGATCTGGGTGATTCACCAAAAAGAAATGCTCCACAAACTCACTGACAGATTCGTCCGGGTCTGGGGGAACATTCCTAACAAGGACCTGTGAAGCAATTAGATATCAGACAACTTTGGCACAGAAGCATAGTATATGAAGATCCATTTGTCATATCTAATGAGCTTTGATGAATATATTAAGTTTTTTTTTACTTTTTGTGACTTCCAGTTACGCATACAAAGTAATAGAACCTAATACCAGTTGCAGATGGTAAGAAATATTGACACACAATTTCCTAGCAGAATACAAAAAACTTGTAAAGCTTTCCACTTCTCTCTTCCAAAGTGAATACTAACAGCTATAACTACTAATACAAAACGTGCACCGAAAAAATGATTTCTTTCCAGCGTTAAAAATAATTAAAACAATAAATTTTCTTAAATGTAGCAAATAAATCACATCATCTGAAAAATGTTTGAAAACAAAATATATGTTTGAACTAATTTATTGTGAAAGGAACGATCATACTGTAAATTTATCGGGCCGACGTCTTTCTGTTGCAAGAAAATGCAACCGCATACTAGTAACTTTTTCATACTCCTTCATCAACACATAGCATGTCCAAAAGGTAAAGACGTAAGCCAACACGATATGAGCCGAAAACCTACAATCAGAAATAAACACAATATGAGCCCAAAACCTGCAACTCAGAAATAAACACAATTATTGTGCAGGAGCAATTCATCATATTACAATCAAGATAGTAAAAAAAGGAAAGGGAAGAGAGCACACCTCTCTGATTTAAACGGGATATTTGAAGTTGAAAGCTTATCAATATTGCTTGAAGTTACTTTCCATTGCTTGGCTTGTTTGCCTAATGTGCTGTTTGTAAAATTAAGCGGTGCCAAAACAGCACAAGCAAGGAATGCAATAGGAACAAAAATCTTAAGTCCCATCAAGTAAATCCGCAAATAGACAGCTGAATCCAATCCGGCATGATCAATAAGCTCAGGTTCCGGCATCTTCAATGCATCCGGCATCCAATTCAAGAACCTTATATATGATATACCATCCAAATTCACAAACTTCCGCACAAATGCTCTAACACCCGAGTGAGTTGGACTATCTGAATCTCTTAACCCTTTAAGATACCATTTCGGAAAGTATACTCTATCATTGAACGGTTGAATTCTTAATATAGCAAACGCTATTAATATAGTGAAGGCAGTGAGAATGTTAAGAGCTGCTGAAACCGCTATATCTTCAAGCGTCGCCATCTATATCTCCCACACAAAAAAAAAAAAAAATAATAACAATAAAAATCAATTTCCCTATTTTCGCTCAATGTTCATCAAAATTGAAATGTTTGAATCATACTATTGCATTTTCATTCTCTGGCGCTAAACTTTTACTAAAAAAACAGTACATTTAGTCCGTTATTAGCTATCCCTTCATTTTTCTCATATCTAGTTCATTTCACTCTCTAAGTTTCCACTACAAAGAATTAAAAAACAAATAAAATGAAATTCAAGCTCTTCTCGATCAATCAAGAACAAAAACGAAATGAAAACAAATATAAATTTTAAAAGAAAATGAAGCTCATACTATTTGCGTGATTTCTTCAAGCTTAGTGGAAAGAAGATGACTTAGGAAGTGTTTTGATGGCTAGAAAACTCAGCTGAAGCTAAGAACATTCTTCAACTTAAATATCCACCAGGAGGATAAGCACGATCTACAACGCACTGATGCGAAGACAAAAAGAGAGAATTAAAAAGACAACTCCACAAATAAGAATCGATGGTTACTGTAGAGAAAGAAAAGTTCGTCGACAATTGGAGGCAATGTTCACACTCTGCGTTTTTCACTCGTTTTAGTTATATAGTAATGACACCTGTCTATCCTTGTAGCACGGAAAGTTGTACGCCATCAACTTTCGGCTGCACACTTAGGATAATATTACTTTAGTGTAAATGTAATAGTAGAGGAAAAGATATGGCGGTAAAAAGGCGAATAATACATTCAACACTGTTGATTTTAGTGCCGACATGTGTTATGTTAAGGCTATTCTTTCTTTTTTTTTTTTAACAGAGATATCCGAACCAATTTATATACTCGAAGATGACAATAAATCGTGTTAGGTCAAAATTTTCATAGTCTATTGTGCCATAGCCCACAAAAATGTGAGTTATGTCATATCGTGCCAAACAACTAAAACTCAAAGCTTACGACATGACCCATGGCCTGATTGACTATGTCGTGTTACGTTTCATGGATTAGTATAGGTTTTCCTCAAAAAATTTAAAAATTCTTAGTTTTTTATTTTTTTTAAATTCGTGGACCGTACCAACCCATATACCAAATCCTAAGCCCATGACACGACACAAAATTTTCGTGTTGTGCCATTGAGCCGTGTCGACACAATCCATTGCCACCTCTACATGCACATCAACTACGCTATTTCAATTTTATAGAACTTTTTCTTTTTTTTGGGGTTCAAGAAGCTATAGAGCTATTATCTCCTTCTACGACATGTTGTTGTGGTCGCCATATTTCATATGGAGGACGTCATTCAATGACTCCACGATCGCCCTTTGAACGATCAAAATAAGATAATCCCTCTAGTCAGGTGGGCGTAGGCCGATCTTTGCTTTAGACCAAATCCCCCTAAAAACTGTACGTGCGGGTCTCCCCGCATGCTGCTCATGCCATTCAAGGAGTCCAGGCCAGCATTCATTCGCAAATCCAGTAGTGAAATTGAGACTGCTCGACCATTGAAGAAGACTAAGTTTTAAGCCCAAATTTCTTATTATGTTGAGTGAAACTACATACATTGAACACACTGTGCAATGATACAAACAAATTAAATAAATTTAATAAACCATCCACCTTTTCACACAATCTAAACAATTCCTCACTGATATGCATTCATCATTGAAGTACCTTTCAACTGCCTGCCACAAAAATCCAGAACTTGCTTCTTGCTGGAAAATTAAAATTCTGTTCAAGTGGCCGCTTCTCCCTTCTTTCACTCTGTCTATACAAGAAACTATGCTCTTCTTTCTCAATTTAATTACAATGTTGTCATCCTTCGCTGTGCATAGCTCAAATGTGTATGGAAAAGTATTAAGCCTTAAACAGAATCAGGGCTCTGACTTTTCGTGAACAGTGTCAGGCAATGAGTAGTGGTGAGAGGTGGCACCACTCATTTTGCTGGGCACCGGTGTGTTTTACGGGACTGGCGTTTTGTGGGACTAACACATTTTCCTTTTCCCCAGTCCAATACAGCATATCCTTTTCATCTTCATCTTCATCTCATCATCAGCTTTGAAGACGGGATGGATGTATGCTTTTGAAGATAACCTTTCAAGTTAATGTTTGGTTCCCGTGCACGTTCTAAGGTCTTTCATCATTGCTTCCTGAAACCCAGAAGAAACAAGATTCCAGATTGCTTAGAAAAGGAAAAAAACCGCTACTATTTGAAATTCTGTTTGGTCAATAACCATAAATTTACATAGGGAATACCAACAAACCTGTAATGGAAATTTAACAAAGCAGATTCATAACGGCCGGTGCAGAACCTATGAAACCATATCGTAAAGAGAAGAGCAATGAGAAATGGTGCTGCTTGAGCAGCTTCCTTTGTACTCAGCAGCCCCATAAGAAGCAACTGTGATATAACCAATGCCGCAATGACTCTTTTGTGGACATCAGGCCAGAATGCTGCACCGCTCTGTACTCTTGGTTGTAAACATTTATGACCTACATTTTAAAATAAAATTAACAAACAGAACTCTAGTATGAAAACAATAGCTGTAGCATATAGTTCATTTAATTAAAAATTAAAAACACAGGTGGGTTGGTAAATACTTCTTACCTGATGACGGAAAACAACATAGGCCAGTGCAAAGAAAACAATTATGAAAGGGAGCAAAAAAGGAGTCACTGTCGCATAGACAAGGCAGCAGAAAATAAAACTGTATACGAGGTTCTCCATGTTGAAACCAATACTTCCTGGATCCATTGCCGCCTCCCTGTCCTTTTCAGTCTTCACCAAGAAGAAATTCTTCAAGTGGTAGATAATCGATGGTTTCACCATTAAAATCTCTGCAGCTATACCAGCCCATCCATCGACCATTATAAGTTGAAGAAAGTTGCTTTTATTGGTATAGCTACTCCAATGTCTTGGGAATACTGCCAAAAGAGAAAGATTAAGCTTCATCTTCACAAAACTGAAGAACGTTAAAAATTGGATGAAGACATTACAACCAAATCACTAGCTGACTTGATTATGCAGTCACTGTCGCATAGTAATCCATGATATGCAATCACTCGTAGCTAGTAACCCACTTAGTTTACTTAAGGATGAAATGAATATTTTTTAGGTTGGAACCCACACCAGGCACCGAAACAGACACGTAATAGCATTCTAAAATAAGAGGACAGAAAACAAAGAAGATAATAAGTAGTCAGTAAGAAAAACATACTCATTTGCTGACTGCTTATAAAGAATTAGCTGCTCAAAGCAGATCCAGTTATTATGCTCCCAAGGAAGACGTTCACAAAATGAAAAGATAATATCTGAAGCTGATCTTCTTTCTAGAGAGATAGAGATACAAATCCTTCAAACTTAGACATAATCATCAATATCGTCGGCAGGAAGATGGAAAAAGCTTCAATACAATACCAGGAAGAAAACCGAATGACTGATTTAATAAAGTTGCTGCATCATGAATATAAGATAACATCAGTTGGTTAAGTAATGCAATCGAATACTAAAAGTGTTTGAGGATGATAGAAACTTACGTTTCAACTATGGGTTTCAGAAATGGTGCTGCTTTTTCAATTCCCTCAATGCTTGCAAGAGATGTACAAATGCAATGGGTATCATGAAAAAGAAGGTGAGGAAAAAGAATGCAACACCAATAATCAGCCTTCTAACACTGAGTGAAACATATGGAATGCCAGATTTTTCCAAAAGACATCACGGGCTCTGGGGCCCACTCTGTCAACCACATAGTTGGATCTCTGGTTGTTGAGTTTGTGCACACACAGCTGCACCCCATCTAGTTTTAAAGGAAACAAATGCTGCTGGCATTATAGACGGGATCATTAACAACCCTTTTCTCTCTTCTGCTATCTGAACAACACCAAAATATAATGTCTTTGAATCAAACTTGTCCTCAAGTAATGACGTGAAAGGAAATATAACAAAAGAAGCCACTAAAATACAGAAACCTCTCATATCATATGGACCCAAGCATAAAATAGCAAATCACTGTATCAATATCATCCATGATAGCACTAAGCTTCATGTTGATTGAAAGGCCTAAAGAAACATAGACATGCTTTAAATTTAAATTGGATGCTCAGCCCTCCTAAATATGAAGAGCAGACATGTAATGTTGAAAATACAAAACATCTATCCATTGTTCTTACCAGGGAAAAAAACCATTTTCCATGGGTCAAAATAATGAGACAGGCTAGATTTTTACTGAGAAATTCACAGTATTTGAAAAAAAGGGAAAGAAAGGATACAGTCAACTGTTTACCAACTCGTACAGATTGGCAAACGCTCAATGTGGTAGAAAATGTTTGAGTTTGATGACTACTATAATGCTGCCAGTGTTTAACTAAATTTGGTTCCAAACTCAGGCATTTTCTAGTTGCTTGGTAGGGTATATATTTGAAGAAACAATATACTGAGACAGCAACCAGTATGTATATTTACAAAAAGTGAGCACAGCAAAGCCAGATAAAGTTAAAAAAAAAAAAAAAAAGGTACCATGATTGTTTTGGCATAGAGCATCAACTAGATTGTCCTGTCTAAATTATTTAAATATAGAGACAAACAGGAAAATACTCACTCTGTTGACAATTTTCATTTCAGATATGTGATGATCAATTGCGTCATTTGCTCCACAAAGTCGAAGAAACCAGTCGGTCAAAGAAAACATCGCATTGATATCACAAAAAGTTAAACCTTAAAAGGATACAAATAAACTAGCAAACTACAATTTACAATGACATAACATCTCAAGTATATTACCTTCATAACCGGCCTCTTCGAATTATTTCTTTCATATTTATTTGGTAGTATTCAGCCAATTCTGCATCTTTTTTTCTTCTTCACCAATTTGGCAAGTTTGTTCGCGTTGATTACCACCTACATAAATATACCATGAATCAAATCAGAAGTGGAGTCCCCAAAAAATATCACTCATAAACATGTGTTGTACAAAATTTAATGTATAACTCATGGCTTCTGACCATAAATCAGATTCGATGAAATCAGATATCAACAAAACTCAACCTGATGTGTTAGGTAGTGATTGGGTGATTCACCAAAAAGAAATGCTCCACAAGCTCACTAACATGATCATGGGTCCGGGGGAACATTCCTAACAAGGACCTGTGAAGCAAGATTCCATCAGACAAGTTGGATCAAAAGCATGATATATGAAGATCCAGTTGTCATATCTTATGAGCTTTGATGATTAAATCAAGTATTTTCGTTTTGTAACTTTCAGTTATGATTACAAAGTGATAGAACCATAATACCAGTGCAGATGGTAAGAAATATTGACATATGATATTCTGGTAGAGTACAAAAAACTTGTAGAGTAGAAAGTTTCCCACTTCCGTGACTTTGTCTTTCAAAGTGAATATACAGCTATTACTACTATAACAGAATTGCACCTTAACAATAAAATCTATTCGATATAAAAAATAAATAATAAGTAATAATTTAAAAAAAAATCTTCAATATAACAAATAAATCTCATCAATCTCAAAATTGTTTGAAAAAAAATCATATATTCGAACTAATTTATTGAGGAAAGAACAGTCGTACTGTAAATGATCCGGTCGACGTTTTTCTGCTGCAACAAACTCCAAC